TATACCATTCTTTATAGATTATAAATAACTATTAATAATGTGAGGATGATAAGAAAATTGTTTTTCTTTTCATTCTGATATAAATTGAAGTGAACTCGAAAATCTCAAAGTAAATTAGCTACTGTCTGTTTAATACGAAGCAAATTTTGATCCTTACATCCACCTATCGTTATGGAGAAACGCTTAATTTTATCAAATAGATTCTCGAGATCCTTTGAATAATATATGAATTTCAAGCAAGAATTAGAAGAATTCGTATTCAAACCTTTCTTGCAGCAAATTTTCATTATTTTTATCACAACGCCATTATATTTAACGATCTAATTTTCAGTTTTAAATGTCTACATTAAAATTAAGTGCTGCGACTGACTATCATAATCAAACATTAAAAATCAACTAAAATCAATTAAATATACGCTATTATATTTTTTGTTTATTATCATTATTATAGAAACGTAAAAAAGATATTTAAAAGCTAAAATTTTTACGCGAATGAGTTATCTGCAAACATAGTTTTGAACAAGACCAACAACCGCAGTTTTGTGCCTAATCATGCGTTACTAAGGTATTCGATCAGGTGGAAACGTGGGGAAATCCACCGGTCCGATCGACAGCTGGCATCTGTTCTCAAAAAAATGGGCCAGGAATTCACGTTCGTTTCACCAGCAGGTAAAAATGCATATCTACTCTGACTTATAAGCGTTCACACAGAGACATCGGTAATAGGACAAAGTGAGAATAACATCGAGAGAACAGATATATGACAATATGTACTTTATGCGCTGCTCTAAAAATATATATCATGACATATACAATATTGAAATATAAATTATCCCACAACTCGCGACTTTAACTTTAGCAGCAGATTTATTGCAAGTTTTTTCACGGCTCGGTTTTTTCACAGTGACAATATCAAGGGATATCATTATTTTTAACGTAGCTTTTCGACTTTCTGCATCGCATGTTTGTGCAAAGTTCAATTTTCCAATTGGAATTTTATTAATGTTAAGTCCACTTTAAATTAATTAAAGGATTTCTTCTGCAATCTCTTAAAACATAGTGCGCGACAAACTTTTCTTTCAATCGCTTACAACTCAAAAATATCAAGACACTTCAATGATTCGATATTTTCTTTTAAAAAATCAACGACGAATTTATCAAAGAATTTACCATTAAAATCGCAAGTTATATAGGACAGTCTATATATGCATATATGTTACATAAAAAATAATGCATTGTATATATCATAGTCGCGATAATACAGTGTGTGAAGTGAACGGAATGTGATGGAGAGCAAGTGCGTTAATATCAGTAATAATACCAGAAAAAAAAACGGAATCATTAAGACACTTTTGAGAGACTAATATATGTAGCAAAAAAATTCTCTCAACGACTAAATTCTTTACGACTAAATGACGATTAAGATAGTTTCATAAAAAAATAGCATATGTCTGTGTAGAAGCGATAAATAGAAAATTAGCCGATTCACACTCAAGTAACGTGAGTTCTCCAATTACAAAGCCTAAACAGTAAGAGATTCTTCAATTTTTATAGATCTTTTTTTCAATTTTTATATACCTCATGATACACTTATCAAATTATCAATGCACCTTTCCATTGAGAAAATCATATTTTATCGTATGCAAATCTAGTATGCGCAGTAAAATTTCTTACAATCTCTGCCGGCGAATGAGCTATTTTATTCTGTTTAGGATTAATGTTCGCTAAACACAACGAAAATAACAATACCAGGGTGTTGTAATTATTGCACTTACTCGGTGGTGGCTGCGGTGCACGTCGCACAACTGTGTGCTCCTGATGCGGTCCTGTATACTCGTGCCATGTGTACGTGCTCCTGTATTCCGAATGAAGCTGCTATAACACATAATTAGCGAACAATTTGGTTTTAAAAATCACGTCAGAAATTGCTCTATATAATTGTATATAGATACAGACGTACTGACAATGGAAAACCTAGGGGATATGTGTATATTCTCAATATATTCTTAATCTTATTGTTAGAAAACTAGGATCTGTGAAACTCATCGAAAAATTCCCCCTCGCTTGTGTTTCTAGTAACTCGAAGACAGGGATTTTCCATCACTCTGTAAAAAACGTTTAGGATCCTAGATTTTGGATAAGACACGTTAGTTTTCCTTTTCATTTCGGAGTGAGCATTGCTTAAGCCTAAAAAGCCGGGCAGACTCAAGTCTAGCTTTCGTAGAAGTTCTTTATTTATCGTTAAAGCGAAGTGTGTTTTTTAATCATATTTTTATATTGACTTGATGTAATTAAACGTATATTTGTTTTCAATTTATAGCGTCAGGGCCTGAGCAGAATGGCTGTCTTGTACTCTCAAGACGTAAGACAGTTATTGTGCGTTACCTCGAGACAAAGGCTTAAAGCATAAAACATTGTCTTAAGACTGTCATAAGGGTATGCCATAAAACAGCCTTTCTGCTGAGGCCCTAAGAGTAAAATAGTAGGAAACTTCAAGAACATCTCGGAATTATGAGACTTGGTGATCGTTCTGACATAGATTATTTTTATGACATCGTAGACTCCAAAGGATTTTGTGCATAGTGTAACAGAAAAGACTTCGATACCGATGCGGAATATCATGTGTCTGTGAAGTTGGCACGACATTCTACGAATTTCGAAAAAATACTAAGAGTCCCAATAGCACTTTTCATAGTTCTACAGTTCCTGATAAAAATTAGAAAGAGTTCCGCACTCCTTATTATATGAAAAAATCAACTTTTAAAAAACGTCGTGCTAACTTCGCGAATCTCCAAGGGGGAGAACGTGAATTGTGGTCGCATGTTTTTAGAGAGGAAAATACGTGTGTATTGTTGGCACATTTTCCAAGAGGGGGATAACGTGAATCGTAGTCGCATATTTTTAACTTACTCTTTTCATAGAGAATTATCTGATTTCCTTTCAATTATGTCACAAGTTTGGAGACAATGCATTTTTAACGTAACTGTCATTCACTGTATCAATTAAAATATATTGCAAGGTTTCGGTAGATGAACGGATCGATGGTTAAGGCTTCCATAATCTATTCAAGAAGATGCCGAGTCTGTAATATCTTTCACGTTGAATGCAATTATTTTTATTCAAAGGATTAATAAAGCGCGCACGATGAAATGTAATTAAACCAAATTCTCACAAATAGCATTAATTACAAACATCGGAATACGATTAAAACTTCGTTGAACCCATTTGTTTATTTCTATTTCTTTGACTTTTATCTTATACTGTGTATATTTGTTATTTCATAAAAACTTATACTTTATGCTCACTTTGAAGAATTTATTTTTTATGCTCTGGCTCAAAAGTAGTTTTTTCGCAATAAATTTGCCATAAAATTATTTATACACGAACACCCTGTTACGACTCTTAGCCTTTTTGCTCCTTCGAATTTGTGTTTAACACATCACTGCCTTATGTATTTATTTTATCTTTTATATTTATAATTGTTTCTAATAAATTTTAGTCACTTTTACACGAGCAATACTGAATTTTATTTTTAGATAAGTAAAAGTTCTGCGATGAGGGTTTGATAATTAAAAACAAATATGACTCTCTCTTTTCAGAGAATAAACAGTACCTATACGTTCCTTCGTGAATCGCGCATAAACAACTATTGATTCTTCGACGTTTATTTATTAATGGCAATATGGGACAACTTTAACCTTTACCGTAGGTCCCCGAGCCCAGATGACACATACAGCACTTCACATTTTTCTCCTTCTCTCTTTTTAAAATTATATAAAAAACAGAAAACCACGGGAAAAATTTGTTACTCTATTATCCGATCTCTCACAATTTTGACGCGTCACTTATTACTTTAACGGCGAGAAAAATAACGATCTAGGACTAGACCAGGATTCGAGGCCTGGGGCTAAATTCTTGAATTTATTCGCAAGAAAAACGCGACGACTAGATTCTTGAATTCTTTCGCAAGAGAAATGTATGCGCAAACTCTGCTCTTACAGAAAAGTTGTACGTTGATTGGTTATCGTATGACTTTTAGCCAATCGACTTGCAACTTTTCCGTAAGAGCAGAATTTGCGCGTACATTTCTCTTGCGAATAAATTCAAGAATCTAGCCCCTGGGATCTTCAGCTTGCCGGGTGGATGCTCTCCCCACTGAGCTATCCAGGCCCACGCTCGAAACTCTTCTAGCTTGCCTACTTTATTTCACTAAATAAAGACAGGAACAATTTCTTATGCTAGAGGTGATAATAGAGTGGAATTGAAGTAAAGGCCGGTATTTTCACTTAATTTTAGCTCTTACTGTAAATTATACGAATCCTACGACAAAAAGGGTACTTTCTATTTTGCGCGTCTTCGGGCGCGTGGAAATCTAAACTGTGCGCAGTAAAAAGCATATAGGAAGTAATAGATTCAAAATAGAAAAGGAAAGTAAAGAGATGTAGAAGAAAAGAAAATAAAGAATATAGAAGTTAATGGGAACAATCGAAAGAGAAGGTACATAAAGAAAAGTAAATACTTTAAAAAGTTTTAATAAAGATTTAATACTAATAAATTAGAATTTTGCCGGTAAAATAAAAATACTAAATTGAAAAATGCTCAAAATGAGCGTTTTGGCTCTTACTTTAACTCAGTAATGTAAAACCAGACCTCTGTGAAGTTGGCACCTCATGTTTCAAAAATCTTTTTTTTTTCAGTTCTGAATGCACCCCGAAGAGTTCTAGAGTTCCTTATAAATTTTACAAATATTTCTGGCGAATTAACCTGAAAAAGTTAAATCTGAAACTTGGGGATGCTAACTTCACAAAATGAAATCTCGAAATCAGCGATAACACTAAAAGTATTGGAAATATTTAATTTTGCCATTAGGATTTCCTTTAGAACTCTTGAGGGGCTACCCAGAACTCCCAACAGAAGTGCTGGAACTGATAAAAATTTTCCTCCTTCGGGACTTCGAAATTTTTCGAACCGAAGGAGGAAAATGCGATTACTTCGATCTTAGCTCAGAGAGCCGAGATGTGACTTATTCCATCTTAGCTCAGAGAGCCGAGATGTGACCTATTCCATCTTA